GGCATTTCTATTTCCTGAGGCTTGGAAAACAATCCCTAGATATTTGAAGACTTTAACCTGCTCAATGGACTGTCCGCCTAAATTCCAGCTTCTTTGTTTAGGGCGTTTAGAAAAAGTAAGGATCTTAGTCTTGGTATAATGTATTATTAATTCCTCCTCAATACAATAATCTATAAGTGAGTTCAAAGCTGTCTTAAGGCCAATAGAGGTTAATGATAGAGTTACTGCATCATCAGCATACAATAATAAGTTAAAATGTCTTTGAGCTAATTTAGGGGGGTGGAATGTAGAATTACTTAAATAAGAGACTAATGAGTTTATATAATAATTAAATAAAACTGGGGCCAGTACACATCCGTTAAAATGTCTTTGAGCTAATTTAGGGGGGTGGAATGTAGAATTACTTAAATAAGAGACTAATGAGTTTATATAATAATTAAATAAAACTGGGGCCAGTACACATCCCTATCTAACTCCCCTCTTTACAGATATTTCTTTTGTGCCATGGCCTTGAGTGCTGCACCTAACCTTCAATCTGGTGTTCTCATGGACTTTAATAAGCAGCAGTAATAGGCGTTTATCTATTGTGGAATTTTTTAATTTAAGCCATAGCTTAGTTCTAGAAACAGTATCAAAAGCTGACCTAAAATCAATAAAAGCTGCATAAAGAGATTGTCGCAATTTATGAGTGTACTTCTCAACTAAATGTTGCAGGACCAAGGGATGGTCTAATGTTGATCGTCCTGTTCTAAACCCAGCCTGTTCATCCTTTATAATATTTTCAGATTCAAGCCAATCTAGTAATTTCTCCTGTAGGTGTTTGGCATATATTTTACCAATCTGGCTTAACAAACTGATTGGGCGTACTAATCTGGTTTAACAAACTGATTGGGCATATTTAAGTCAGTTTATAGGATCATCTTAATAAAGCAGTTGCTTTCTTGATATAGAAAGTCCCCCTAAGAAAACAATATTTTTTTCTCTTTTGTTTCTCTTGAAGGTGTGTAGAAATGGTAAAAACTTCTCAATATGTAGAGTTAGCCAATGACCTGGAAATCAATAAAGCAATTACCTATTTGCGGCAAAAAGATTTTAATCAGGTACAGTATTTTCATAAAGTTCTTTACTGGTAAATTTTTACATTGAATCATGATCAAAATACGATTTCAAATGCATACGTTTAACAAATTGAAATGTTACTGTATTACATTACACTGTAAAATAGAATTCAGGTTGTTGATACGTTTAAAAATCAAGTTAATCATTTTTGTTACTGGTTTTGGTATTTACAACATTTACTTGTTATTGAGTTGCTGTCCAGAACAACAAGACAGGAGTAAATTTAATGATCATTTAAGATGATAAAAATATATTGGGAATGAGGCAGAATGAATCATATTATTCTTTGAATTTGTAGATAGGAAATATCCACAAAAGATAGGGATTAAAAAGGAAAGTTTCAAACACTTGCATAGTTTCAAACATTTTTAAGCTTGAAAATTACATGGTCAAGCTTTGCAGACCAGAAATGTTAAAGTTGTTCATCAGGGTATATGCTTTATGTTGCAATGGAACAACAAAGGCCATTTGGCCAATGAAGATAATAAAAGCTGAATTTGAAAACTAATCCTTCTTTAAAGTTCATAATATTGGAATGGATTGCCACCAGTGATATTATTGGAGCTAGCTAGTAGATGCCTGAGATACTTGCATTACATTATACAACAGACCCCAAATTTACAGGCATGTTATTCAGGGAGATATCAGTGTTACCAGGTAGACCAGACAGGAAACATGACCAGATAAGCTAATTCTACTTTATTGTAAAGCTACATTAACAGAACCTTGCAAGTCTGAAAGTACAGTTCTCCTGCCATCTCCTTTACAGACTGAGAAACCAGGGAGGGTCCTTTCTGAATCTCTTGACTGGCCCACTATCCAACTGCGGGCTATGTTGTCTCTTATCTGACCATTCCCCAGGCAGCATTTCTTTGCCCCATCTCCCAAGGTGTTTCCCACATACCATTACAGGAGGGGAGAGAACTGTATGTTTTCAGTACAAAAACTTGATTGGATTAATAGATATGTAGCCCACTTAGAATAAATGCATTCTCTTGCCAGATCTTCCTCCTCTGGTCTCAATATGCATCAGATGTTCAGTTGTCTGAGTGGGCAAGGCAAATCTTTAAACTATATTTTTGTCAGTAAAATTGGCTGTGGCTCCCAAATCCAGTAAGTTTAACGGGTATATATTTGAATCTGTTTGAGAGTGTAGAATTACAAGCAAGATAAAATGTTGTTATCTAGAATCCTATGTCCCCTTGATTTCCTGATGGCTCCCTTTCAGAGCTTTTGAAAAAGAGACCAGCTTTGTTTCTAAAGATCTCAGGCTTAAGAGATTAGGGCATTTACTGTTGAAATGGCCTGTGATACCACAAGCATGCCATTTCACAGGTTTAGTAAGATGAAAGAGTAGCGGTACACAAATCCCAACAAATGAACTTATTTTTAATTTAGAACCAAAGTATCTGAGTATACATTATGAAGGACACTTTCTGACACTTTTCCTCACAGCATTACAGGGAGATGCCCATGTAAGCATTTTACAGGAAAATGTAGGATATAAAACTAACAAATAATAACATTGATCAAACAAAACCTATACTGTACTCCAAATTTCACATCTAAATATTATTCAGAACATTTTTCTTTCCTCTGAAATTAATGATCTCAATATATGAGGAAAAAATTATTCTATTTTATTAGCGTGTACCTCCTAAGCAATTTGCTAGGAAGCAATAAACTTGAGCTAGCTCCATCTGCTTTGCATATGCCTGTTTGTGCACTTCATAAATTAAAACAGTACTGTAATGCACTTTTTGCAGGAAACTGTTAAACAAGAATGACTTGGCTTATTTCTCTAAGGTACATGCATTTCCTAATAAGTAACTGACATGTTGTGCTTCATAAACTTCTATGTAGTGGAAAATAGAGCCTCATAAATGCATATGCATATAGCATAAAGCATATCTTTATGCTATAGAATATATGAGTCAATTTCAACCTATAAAATAAAAAGTTAACTTTAAATAATAAAATGCAGTGGCTGCAACATCTACAGCAATTCCCAAAACATATTTTCAGATTTTAAGGATAAAACCTTCTTTAACAAAATAATTATTCTTCTTGAATGTCTTTTTCATGTTCCAAAATCTTTAAGACAGATGTTTTTAAAAATTCAACAACAAAGTATCTCCATAAATAATATTATTGTGTTAAGAACCCATAGTGATAAATCTCTTTGCCGCATAATAAAAGTTGAGAACAGCTGTGATGTAAAATGAGAGGAGAAGTAATTGTCATTTTCTTTGTTTTTTTAACCGTAACTTACACCAGAGTTTCTCACTTAGTGTTATTTCTCTAAAAGTGCAGAATGAGTCAATACGTTTCTATTTGTTTTATATTTTACTCTAATTACTGAGCTTCTTTCCAATTATTGATCCAATCATATCTATAAATATAGAGATTTGCAGTATGCCATCTTTTTCACATAGCCTCTTGGCTAAGAGTCGGATGGCCCTGACCCATCCAGAAAGCTCTGAAAACCTGGCTTTTCCCTTAGGTGTTGGGCCTAGGTTAGAATTAGGGTTAGGGTTAACCCAGTATATGTGCATTTGGGACTGTGAATTGTTGGTGAGAGATGTCTCGGTTCATTGTGTTTGTTTTTAATTGTATTTTTTTTGTTCTATTTTATATTGCTTTTTTTACTATCAGCTGCCAAGAGTTATTTGATTAAGATGGGGGGCCTTATAAGTTTTCTAAATAAGAAAAATGTGTTTATATTTGAAAATGATGCAATCGTAAAACATACCTACACTGAGTCAGTTGTGTGTGTCTTGGACTACTATTATGTATTGCTCAAAACGTTGAACAGTAGTTGGCAGTAGTGTTCTACTCCCTATTGTGTTTCACTCCTGCCAAGGAAGATGGATGTGGTGTAAATATTACCTTGAAAAAGACTCCCTTGATTTCAGTTGACCTTAATTCTCAGATATAGAAATTGCTTTCAGCGAGATAAACTGTTTTGTGACTTCATATTTAGTGCTTGTGTCTTACTTTATAATTTTTTTTGTACTTTCCGCTGTTTCTTTGAATTTGCTTACTTTTAATATGGTCAGTAACAAAAGGTCTTGAGTGGATTGCAAACTAGAAGAATAATGATAAAATGAAAATAAAATACAATAAATACAGTGGGGAAGAAAGGAACAGATTTAAAGTTGTGTAACTATTAAAATTTAAAACAGCTAGAGGAAAAACAATAACTTAGCCTGGTGCTAAAAATAGAGCTTTAGTAGCTGATGATATAAAAAACCTAATAAATAAGTAACAGTGGATGATGTGTGAGCTGTCTTGTGGATGATACTCTAGAAGCAAGGCATGCTATCATCTGAAAAAGTTTCTCTCTCTTTTCTTGCTACTAGAATTCAGAAGTAGGACCTGGAGGAGCTTTCAGCACTGACCTAATTGTCCAGGCTAGTACATATAGAAGGAGTTGCATTGGTTCCAAACCATTAAAGGTTTTCAAGATTAGCATTAACTAGGACTACAATTTCTGAGCTGCAGAAATGTAGATAACTATAAAATGGCAGCCAGAGGACACAGACCATTCTAATTCTTTACTGCCATCTAATGAACAGGTACATTTTTCCTGGATAAATCTGGTAGTCCTAGCATCAATACACTGAATTGGACCAGTAATGGACTGGAAGGCCATGCAGCTGCTGAAGCATTTGTAATCACATGATTGTATTAGTCAACCCCAATTAGTTCAAAATAGAAGTTTTACTAATTGAAGTTTTAGGACAGTCTTCAGAAGTACCTCATGTTCTGCAATTATCCAGCTAGATCTGAGTAGTTTTTACAATGAGAGTAACTTTGCTTATTGATTACTTCTAGGCTGTAGACACTTTAAAGATGTTTGAAAAAAAGGATAGCAGAGTTAAAAGTGCAGCTGCAACAAATCTTTCTTTTCTTTACTTTTTGGTGAGTAATTAAAGATTTTTTAAAAATTAAGTCTGAGGATATAGAGCCTCTCTGGATTTTGTCATATGATTAATTTTAAAAGTAGTCAATAGTTTTAAGAACAGATAACTACTCAGTACATTTTATTAATTGTTGAAGTTAGTATCTTGAAATTATTTACTCCAACGTCACATAAAATATGCTTCATTTCTTAAAGTCGACAGTTCAAAGTTCGAGAAGCTCAGTCTCTGTTACTAACTTACAAAGAGCAATGAGTTCATTGGTGCATGTTGGCATCAACTAGTTTGTTCTAACTGACATGTAGGCCACAGGTTGTCCATTCCTGCCACAGCAGCTTTCCAAGATGTATTATTTAACAGGTGTTTAAAATGGAACAGAATGATACTGTTTTGGCAACTTTGAAATTCCCTTCATTCACAACCACTTGGATTTTTGGGAAAACCATCAGAAAAATGCATGCAACATGAAGTTAAAGTATTGATAATGAAAACAGGATTGATTAATTTTTTTTTTCTAATTTCTGATTGGTCAGCTAAAGGCAACATTGATTGACTCATAGACAGGAAGTAATGAATGGAAGCATGGGTCAGCTTCAAACTAATTCTGAGGAACTGGGAGTAGAAACACTTCTGATATGGAAATGCTTTAAGAAAAAGATAACTGAATTGGATTGTTTCAATTTCTTAGAGTTTGATCTATTTAAAATTATCCTGGCAAAGTATTTAGGAAGCAAAGTATACTGTTATATTGCTTAAGCATTGGGTTATAATCTTAATAGGTACTAGAATCTTTAAATGTTAATGTATTAACAAATCTGTATATACCAGGAATCAAAAAATATTTTTAAAGAGTTAATTTCCAAAGCATCAGCAACTGGATAATAAGATGTGTTCTATGTTTAATTAAGGAAAATGAGTTTAAACAAGCAAGCAATTATGCAGATTTAGCAGTAAATTCTGACAGATACAATCCAGCTGCTCTAACAAATAAAGGAAATACCATTTTCATAAATGGAGATTATGAGAAGGCAGCAGAGTTTTATAAGGAATCTTTAAGGAATGATTCTTCATGCACTGAAGCACTTTATAATATTGGTAAGTCACAAGGTAATTTGGACTGCAATTTGAGATGCTTGGTACTCTGGATACAGAATATATCATTTTTAAAAGTGGAAATTGCTAGTTTTGCTCTTAATTGGGAGGGTCCACAATTGGAGGGTCAAGATGGTGAGTGCAAGTGCAGATGAAAGCCCTGCCCCTTTCTGTACATGATGTTGCATGTAGAAAATGACAGAACTTTGATCCACAGTTGTGCCTGCCATCTTGGCCTTCTTAGCTCCCCTGTTGTGGATTCCTCTGTTCTTAATTATATTTTTTTTATCAAAGTTGTAATAGCTAAGTGGTCATTTGTGCTGTAAGCATTATTATGCCTCTTTCCAGAGCCCAACATCCATATTAAAATAGAGACAGATTTCTTATTTATTGTAAGCAGGTTTCCTTGTCATTCTCTATACTTAAATATTTTTTTCTATTTTGTAAATCATTATAGCTTATAGGGTACGTGGGTGTCTGCTGGGGCAGTGGGGAAGCAAAGGACAACATGTGCATTGTGATATCGTTGCTTTAATGATGCATCTTGCATACATGTATCAGATGTTATGATGTGACTAACTCAAATTATACAATTGCATCATTTGTGTGATACCATGATACCTATGTCATTTTGAAATTATTGTGGTTTATAACAGATGCCTGTGAACCCACATAATTACCCCATTTTGGCATTGTGAGGAAATGTGTGTTTATATCATTTTTTATCATTAAAAAGAATCCTAAAATGGATAACTTTCCAGCATGTGTTTCATTTAATTATATTATGGTAAATGTATTCTTAGCTCAGTTTATTTCTATTTTTCATGACAAATATGCTCTTCTTTTTTTGGTAGGTTTAACTTATAAAAAACTAAACAGGTTAGACGAAGCATTGGATTCTTTTTTGAAGCTTCATGCGATCCTTCGAAATAGTGCCCAGGTTCTCTTCCAAATAGCATGCATGTATCTTTTCAACATATCTAGTGTCTGACATTTCAGATGTTCAGTGCCCTGTTGAACTCAACTGTAGCACAGCGCATACTCATATAAAAATTGCAAGGTATCAAGAAAGTCTACATAAGATATTCCTTAACTGACAATATTTCAGATATGAATTAATGGAGGACCCTAATCAGGCCATTGAGTGGCTTATGCAACTTATTAGTGTTGTTCCAACAGATTCACATGCATTAGCAAAACTTGGGGAACTCTATGATAATGAAGGAGACAAGTCTCAAGCTTTTCAATATTATTATGAGGTAGGTGTTTTAAAAATTATATTTCTGTATCAGCCTTCATCTTGCATGCTAGCTGGGCTTATTGGAATTAAAATCTGATGTATCTGAGGCTCATTATTGAGGAAGGCTAATCTGTTGCATTTTCTAATATACAATAGAAAATGTATATTATATAAGTGAAAGCATGCTTAATTTGACACTTTAAGATGGCAAAGAATATACAGAATTAAATATTCTGCTGAGTGAAGAATAATTCTTGGTAAATATGTTTGCTAAATATATTTTTATTGGTCAGTAATATGGAATCTGTAGAGAAAACATTTTATTCAGTAATACAACAGTTAAATTTGATTGTAACCTCATTTCTTCACATGGAAAAATTCTCATATGGGATTAAATAGATAAATTTCCCTTATGTGTATATTATCATTCACAAAGGTATTGTGGAAGATTTTTGGAAAATTTGAGGTAATTTATGTCAGCAGATCAAGAGAAATAGAATGATGCATCCCTTATGATTATTCCTGGATTTTTATTTAACTTTTCATGTTCTACTTTAAATTTGTCCTTTTAAAGTCTGTCAAGCAATATAGAATGCACTCAGCTCCAATCTTAACAGAATACCTACTGAATTCAATGAAAGCTAAGTCAAATTATTATAACCTTTAATCCCTAGCAATGGCTCCAGACATCTCCACAATTCTCATAATCCCTGTAAAGTTCAGGTCTGTTGAATTTTACCTTCTGCGTATAAATTATGAAACAGTTCAGAAATAATGTTTTTATCGTCTTACACTTTGGGATTTATTTCTTTATTTATCAAATTTATGGATGATTTAGATCAACCTTTTCCAGTTTCTAGTATGTTAATACTACAACTTCTATAGTTTTAGTCAGTACAGTTGCTGACTGGGAATTATGGGAATTGTAGTTTAACACGTCTGAAGGGCATTGGGTTGAAGAGGGCTAATGAAGAATCCACCACTACCATCACAAGCAGTGATTTAGAAAAAAATTGCTGGTATTTTAAAATTATTAGTTTATAGCCCCTCCAATTGTTAACCAGGTCTAAGCGGGTTATAATCCTACCATGTTTAAATAGGATTAAAAGAACTAAGAAATAGGACAAGATAAATAACATTAATATCCACAAATTTAATACAATAATAGTAAAATATTCCTTTGTCATATTCCTATATCTTATATCACTCGTATATAAGAGGAGTCTCTCTTAATTCATCTCCCGCTCTGTTAAAAAAAATTTTTTTATTATTATTTTCCTAAATTCCAATAATATTGGGGCAAGTTGAATCCCCAGGGGAATGGAGTTCCAGAGAAGAGAACTGCATTACAGAAGGCCTGTCCCCAAAAACTCTGTAGGTGATGTTCTTTAACAAAGGGAACCTGGAGATAGTGACCTCTTTCTGATGTGATTGAGTAAGGAGAAGTTATTGGGAACAGGCAGTCCAATAGATACCCAGATTCATCTAGTTTTAAGGGTGACAACCAGCACCTTGAATTGCATGCAGAAGCTAACTTTTGTGAATCTCTTCAAGTAGTGTGGTTAAATGGGCAAACCAAGGCATACCAATAATTGCTCAAGCTGCTGAAGTCTTCTTCAATTTCAAATGGTGAGGAACTTCACAGTGAAGGATCCTAGGGAAAAACTTCTACCGCCATAGCCATTAAAACCACTCCTTCAGGAAGGAAGAGAACCATTGTGCTCCCACTCCCAACTCTTGAACGTGACCAATGGTTTCAAAAGCTGTTGAGAGATTAAGCAGAACCAAGAGCGTCATGCTCCCCTAATCCTGATTCTGCCCAAAATTATCCATAAATGCAATTAATTTGGTTTTGGTGCAGTGTGCACATTGAAAAGGGTCTAGATAATCCATTACCTCCAGGGCCATCCACAATTGCAGGCCCACCATTTTCTGAACAACCTTCTCCAGATTGGACAGTACTCTAAATTTGCTAGGTTGAGCAATAGTTTCTTAGCCCACTTGGACCACTGTTTTCTTCCTCATCATCTCCTTCTTCACATGAATGAATATATACGTTTGTGGTATGTTAAGAAGGTAGATACTTATGCTCTTAAAGCAGAATCCTGCAATCAATGGCTAACTTAACAGAATAATTCTAACTTCCCATATTTTCAAGCCTGTAAATAAGAGACCAGCCACATGATTTATACGTGTCATACCTGAATCAGGCTTGCCTCACTACAAATACTTAAATTATAGAACATTCATCTAAAAACTCAGTATAAAACATATTAGCTTTGCAGGAATTAGGTTAAATTTGCTAGTAAATTATCCTCCTTGCTTTGAATTGCAGCTTCTCTATAGATCACACAAAGGCCCCTTGAACCACATTCTCAGTGTAGCCTTGCTCTGGCTACACCCACATTTTGGGTTGTTTACAGGGAGAGGGAGAGGTCACTTTGTATTTTTTATCTTCAGGTTAAATAGCTCACTTTTTCAGATGCGTGGAATAGTCACCATTTTTGGCTACCATAAACTAACATGGCTCTGTCTATAAGTTTATGCTACATATTTAAGCTACATTGTTTAAGCCAAACAATTAGGTAATAATTATTAAGCTATGTAATTTTCTTATCCAAAATAAATTAGTTTTGACTGCTGTATAGATTCAAAGGAAACATATCATAATGTAGTACATTGTAATTGTAATATAATGTAACAAATGTAATATATTTATTACAGTATCATTGACCAAGAAAAACCATATTTTGAGGAAGTGCTTCCTTGTTTCACTTTTAAAATGCTTGCAAATCAGATATGCAAGAAATAAGCACTTTTTAAATCAAATGTTTTCATAATTTTTCTTGTAATTGCAAAAGGGCTATGTTCTCTTCAGTGATTAATGAATGTATTAGTACACTGCTTTCATTCATGTATTACATATTTTCAGCATCTGGAGAATTACACATAAATATGTAAGATATTTCAGAAGCAAAATAAAGATGTTATTTATCACTATTACAATACGTTTCTTTTACCTCTTTTATTTAGTCCTATCGGTATTTCCCTTCAAACATTGAGGTCATAGAATGGCTTGGAGCATATTACATTGACACACAATTTTGTGAAAAAGCCATTCACTACTTTGAAAGAGCAGCACTTATTCAGTAAGTAATCGCAGCACTTGTATGTTGAGAGCCATTTCACTTGTTCAGGAATTTCCTGCAATATTGTATGATTGTTATAAATTAGATATAGAAAGTTGAGTGGGTGATTTTTCAAGAATTATATTCAGTATTTTGATGCTTTTAAAGTAGTTGTGCTATGATTTAACTTTAAGGAAAATGCAAGTAACTCTTCAAGCAATGAGAAGGATGTGTTATTCTGGATTATAGTTTTCTAAATCTGTTCTGATATAAAGCAGAAGTCAATACCCTTGAACTATTCCAGTTTACCCAAGAATATGTATAATATTTTGACTAGATTCACTGGGTTTATTTGATAAACTTTAAAAGCATTCATGGTGACAAGAAGAATGACAAAAGAATGGCTGAAAATATTCTATCTGATCCAGGATATATATTTTTTAAAAATGCTTTCTTTTTCTTAGCGGATATTTGATTGGAAGGTAGGGTATAATTCTTTGAAGTAACTAACTTCTAAAAACATTGCTTTAAAAAAACGAAGTTATTATGATAGATTTTAGAGTTTACTTCCAATTTCCCCGACTTGGACATAAACTCAATTGAAATAATATATCATATTTGCACCTCTCATAAATTGGATAGCAGAGATTCTCTTGATGAATCCTGTGATCTGGGTTCCTGTATCATATGAACCCAAGATTCTTCAGGTATTGTCTATTGGATAAACCAATGGCTACCAGTAAGACAAATTCAAATTAAAACCGACTATTTCATAAGCTTTATTTTTATATGAGAAAGATTTAGGATTGAGTGTTATAATCCTGATTCTAATAGAGTCACGGCTTATGAAATTGTTATTAAGACTTTGACAGAAGTAGTTTCAGTAAGACTAAACAATTTTCTTTTTGTTGTTATGCTGTTAAAAGATGGAATATTTTATATGGAGCCTAAACTGAATTTCATAATACATCAAATTTTCTGATTTAATTATTTCTTGGTAATTCAGGAATACCAGTTTCTCACTTCACTAGTTTTTTAGGAAATGGCCAATGGAAAAGAATTTATTTCTTAATGGATATAAATCAATCCATTAATTAAAAACAAAAACTTGAAGCTTTATTGAGTATTTCAAAATCAATACAGGTAGTCCTCGGCCACAATTGGGGCCAGAACTTTTGTCGCTAAGCAATGCACTTGTTAAGTGAATTGCACCCAATTTTATGACCTTTTTTGCCACAGTCATTAAGTGAATCACCACGGTCATTAAGCAAATCATACATCATTAGGCAAATTTGGCTTCCCCCATTGACTTTGCTTGTCAGAAGCCCCCTGGCAAGGTTGCAAATGGTGATCACGTGCTGCAATTGTCGTAAATACATGCTGATTGCCAAGCACCCAAATTGGGTGCTACAACAATCATGTGAGGACCAGTCATAAGTCACTTTTTTCAGCACCATTGTAACTTCGAACAGTTATTAAACGAATGGTCATAAGTCAAGGACTACCTGTAGTCATAGATAAAACAGGAAGGATTTTAATTTTAAAATTACAAAAGAAGGCAAAATAATAACCTTGGCCTCTATCTATGCTTCAAATAAAATGTACTCCACTCCAATAATCTCTGTAATTATTTCTCCATCTATAGATACTATCTTTTTGGGAAATATATCTCTGTTTTAAATTTTAAAAAGTCAGTGGTCATGTTATAGAATCATTCAGCCTAGGACTCTTTGCCCTCTGGGAAATACGTAAAACAACTGAATGAGCTTTAAAATATCATAGAGGTAGTCCTTGGGTTATGATGGCAATTGGGGCTGGAATTTCCATTGCTAAGTGATGCAGTCATAAAGCATGATGTCATGTGATCACATCACTTAGTGACAGCAATCATGGCAGTCCCAGTTGTTGTCGTAATGCCAGGACCAGTGGGGTGTTAAGCAGGAAGAGGCAGGAGTTCCAGGCAGGGAGCGCAGGGGAGTGCTTGGGTGCTACAGGAGGTGGGAGGTGCCGCAAACAGGCGCTATGGAGTGTGGGGGCCGACGGTTCCACAGGCAGGCTGGTGGGGGCTGAAGGCAGGCACTATGGAGTGTGGGCTGATTGATGGGGGCCACAGGGAGGCTGGCTGGGGCTGTGGGCAGGCTAGCTGGGGCTGTGGGCAGGCCAACGAGCAGGCAGTATGGAACACAAGTGGGCCAGGGGCTACAAATGGGCGGGAGGTGCTATGGGTGCACGTGCTATTGAGTGTGGGTGGGGGCTTGGCAGGGCTACTTGGGAGAAAAAGGGGCAGGAGCAATTTATGGGAGTGACTTGCGACTTTCCCTGCTGGCTTCTCCATTGACTTTGCTTATGGGAAACTGGCAGGGAAGGTTGCAAATGGCGATCACATGACTGCAGGATGCTGCAACTATCGTAAGTGTGAGCTGGTTGCCAAGCGCCCAAATTGCCATCATGTGATCGTGGGGGTGCTGCAATGGCCAGAACTTCAAGGACCAGTTGTAAGTACCACTCATTCAGTACCACCATAACTTTGCATGGTCACTGAATGAGTGATCATAATCTGAGGACTACCTGTACTGGACTATTCTTTTCTGGAACAAACCTCCTTGGCTAATGGAACCCAGTGTTGTAGCCAAACACACAGATTTACTTGCTTTTATGTTTATGTGAAACTTTCCAAAGAGGATTTATACTAACTATAGAACATCTTACTCTTTTTTAAAAAGGAATTTATCATACAGTCTTTATAAACAAAATTATATATTATTCTGAAATTATTATTATTATGGTAAAAAGAGAATTGTATTTATCTGCAAATTAATATTAGCTTATTGAATTCCCTAGTAGCAGTCTTTCATGACATCCTGTTTGGTAGTCGCTCTATTCTGTATGTATCAATAATTCTCGATAAATGTTAGTTTTTATATTGTCTGATTTCATCCTCTATTAATTTGAAGTTTTGGATTGTGTAATATTTGTTGGGAATTTGAACCCTAAGGGTATGATCTTGCCAAAGTTAAGCATATGAAATCCAATTAATTGCAGTAGGAGAAGGGAAAAAGCATGTGCTCCATATGCAAAACATAACCCCCAGCATATCCCAGCAGGGCTGTGGGAGAACATCTTAGTTTGAAATCCTGCAGAATTTCTGCCAGTCAGCGTAGTAATATAAATTATGTGAATGTATGGTTTGACTCAAGAAACAAGACAATTGCCTGATGCTGAGAGAATATAAACTACCTGATAATTCATACACATGTGCTTTCTGCTCTCTAGATGAAGTAGTTGCAGCATAAATGTTAATGTTAGCTGGACCACATCTTCATTGTTAAAAATGGTTGGGGTTCATCCAGCAAACATAAAGTACGATCTTCAGTGCTGCTCTTGCCAGGTTACAAATTGGCATGGAAACTTAATTCAAATGCATGTTTTTACCCTCCCATTAGAGAGAAAGAAACCATCTGTTTATCCAAGAAAATAATCATTCTAAGTAGTTCCATTTTTATTAATTTCATTCACATGCTAGATATTTAAGGAAAGCTTTTCAGTTGCAATACACTGTGATATGATATGTGTACTTGCAGGCCAACCCAGGTGAAGTGGCAATTGATGGTTGCTAGCTGCTACAGAAGAAGTGGTAAGAATCCATACCCATTGCATGTTGGTTTTGATATTTTTCTCTTTCTATAATTTGGCCTACCTATCTGAGCTTATTTATTTATTTATTGGCTAATAGGTAACTATCAAAAAGCTCTGGACACCTACAAGACAATTCACAGACGGTTTCCAGATAATGCTGAATGTAAGTGATTTCTCTAATGTAACATTCACTGCTTTTATAGTTGTCTCACTTTTTCTGTTGGATTATGCCATAAACAAATATTTACCTTACTGCTTAGTAGCTATCATAGTCGGTCTAAAGCAAGTTATCCATCATCTGGGTCTCTGTGGTACACAGAACACCTGCACAAACAGACTACCCAGGTCTCTTAAGCAGAAGAAGCCTCTCTTTGAATACATTCTCTGCATTGCAGTGAATGGGGAAGACCTGTTAGAAGGGCTCTTTGTATTAAATGCACAAGAAATCATTGGGAATATGGCAGGGCATCAAATGTGATAGAGAGCAAAATGAAGTGGGTGCAGTGTAGATTGCACAAGGTGGATTCTTATGGGACTCTTAAACTTGTACAGGCACAGGCACTGTCTAGTCATGGAAGTAAGTGCTATAGTATTTTATAGGCATTACTACCTAATAAATATGTTTATGATGATAGATTATCACCTAATTAAAAGTGACTTTTAAAACTGTTTAATACATTCAATTCAAAAACGTCCCTCTCAACATTCAGCATTTATTATAGAAGTAAGAAAGATTGAAAAAGACATGTACTCTTTTATTGACAAAAACAAAGAGAATTTGCAGGCAGGATTCTGATATCTCCTGTTGTCTAAGAATTCACATGTGGTGCTATGAATCATAAGCACTTGCCAATTTAGTGCCACAGTGAAATGGTTTCCATTCAGTGACTTCCTTGCTGCAGGATGATGCTGTCCAATGGGTGCCACCCTCCTTGGGCAGCAAAACTTCTGTCTGTACCCGCAGAAGTGAAGGAGCGGGCAGGACCTGGCCCTTTACAGAAAAAGTTTCCCAATCCATGCTGTATTGAATTGTATTTCTGTGCATATGAATGCATGTTTATAAACTCCCACTCAGTTTTTTCCCCACTAATTTTGTTTGTTTTTCACAGTATTAGTGCTAGGAGAAAAATTCTGCTCTTTTGCTATGATCTTAATATTATGGCCATTATACTCTAGGTTTACGCTTCTTGGTTCGACTCTGCACAGATATGGGAATGAAAGAAATCCAAGAGTATGCAACAAAGCTTAAAAGAGTAGAAAAATTGAAAGAACTAAGGGAACAGGTATGATTGGTCATTTTTTAAAAACCCAACTTGCTTAAATGCCCTTAAGAATACAATCTAATTTTATTGTATTACACCCTTAGACTTTCTAGTAATACAATTCCACTAAAATAGCTTTTGATGTGCTACAGTGTGTAATGGCAAAATCTCCTCTATGTTTAATTTGTCTCAGAGCAATAAAAGCATATCAAAAGAAAAATAAAGGCACTTATCACTTCAGTTATGGCTGCTCCCATAAAGATCACAGCACCACTCTTGTGTGTTGCTCTACTAACTACAAAGCAGCATGCAGCAATATCATGAGTGTCTGGCACTGTTTACATTTATTCATAATCTCCTCTTCCTTTTCCTGCCCCATAGCTAATGGGAATGAATAGCATAAGGAAAGGCAGCCCTTTTTTCAATAATATTTGCAGAACTGATGCATTATGGTTGGTCACATAGTCAGTCAGGTGTTTAGACTGGATTTGGCATTTTTATCTACCTATCGAGTCC